CTAATAACTTAACCAAATCACTGAGAATATTCATAATCCAATCCCCAGCATGTCTGGCTTTAGGCCGGGACATGGTACTGAGACAGCCTTGGTCACCTTAGTGGATGATCTACGCCGGGAGCTCAACAGGGGGAGTGTGTCCCTGTTGGTTCTGCTGGACCTCTCAGCGGCCTTCGATACCGTTGACCACAGTATCCTTCTGAGACGCCTCGCAGGAATGGGTCTTGGTGGTACTTTTTTACAATATTGCCGTCTTTCCTCAAGGGTCATTCTCAGAAGGTGTTGCTAGGGGACACCTGCTCGACCCCACGGCCATTGTATGGTGGAGTCCTGCAGGGTTCGGTACTGTCCCCTATGTTGTTTAACATCTACATGAACCCTCTGGGGGAGGTCATCCGGAGTTTCAGGGTGTGGTGTCATCTGTACACAGATGATGTTCAGCTCTGTCACTACTTCCCACCTGCTACTAAGGAGGCTGTTCAAGTCCTGAACCGGTGTTTGGCAGCTGTAACGGACTGGATGAGAGCGAATAAATTGAAAATCCAGACAAGACAGAGGTCCTACTGGTCACTCATAAGGCTGAACAGGGTATAGGGTTACAGCCTGTGCTTGATGGGGTTACACTCCCCCTGAAGGCGCAGATCCTGGACTCATCACCGAGCCTAGAACACCAGGTTTCGGCGGTGGCCGGGAAAGCTTTTGCACAGTTAAAACTTGTGCGCCAGCTGTGCTCGTACCTTGGGAAGGCTGACTTGGCCACAGTGGTCCACGCTCTTGTTACATTCCGAATAGACTACTGCAACACACTCTACGTGGGGTTGCCTCTGAAGACTGCTTCAACTAGTCCAACGTTTGGCAGCCAGGTTGCTCACTGGGGCTGGGTACAGGGAGCGCACAATGCCCTTGTTACGCCAGCTCCACTGGCTGCCTACCAGCTTCCGAGCACAATTCAAAGTGCTGGCTTTGGCCTATAAAGCCCTGAACGGTTCTGGCCCAGTTTACTTATCCGAACGTATCTCCCGCTACGATCCACCTAGGGCCCTAAGATCATCTGGAGAGACCCTGCTTGTTCTTCCCCCATTGTCACAATCGCATCTGGCAGGGACAAGGAACAGGGCCTTCTCTTGACCTTCCGGAAACAAGTAAAATCCTGGCTATGGGATCAGGCATTTGTAGATTAGGCTGACTTGCTGACATGTTGGCTTATATAGAACTGATTATTTAAACCGGTGTCTGCTGACTGATTGATTGTTTTTATACTGTTTTATATTGTTTATACTGTTTTATATTGTTATTATATTGCCGTTAAATTGTGTATCTATGTTTTTGATGTCGGCCCCATGGGGTGCCAATTTGTTAGCCGTCCTGAGTCCCTCTGCAGAGGTTGAGATAAGACGGGATATAAAGTCCCAAAATAAATAAGTAATAATAAATAAATATGTTCAGAAGCAAACTCTATTTCAGTTGGCTTTATCTTGAAGCCTGTAAAACTTTTCTTTTCCGGCAAGCTTTTGATGGGTGAACAATCTGGGCTATGCCTGTTCTCGCTGCCTATTGTTATTGTTATGGTCATTTTAAAGCTTATTATTATTATTATTATTATTATTATTATTATTATTATTAACTTTATTTATACCCCGCAAAATCTCTCGAAGCTTACAAAGGCCGAGGCCACCGACAACAACAACATACAATACATAGTAAAACTCATAAGCAAATAATAAAACATCAAGCAAAACAATAGAACAGTAAAACAATGACACGCATTTAAAAACCTAGGGGTAATGGACAAAAATTTAAAAGTGCTGAGCCTGACAGGTAATATATAGAGGTATTTGGCGGTAGGTGCAATGTGCAGATAATCCTGAATCTCTAACAAAGTGCGTTTGGGACTTGAAGCCAGGAGTTTCCTATTTTGTATTTTATTGTTTTAATCTGTTTCTGTAAACTGCTCTGAGCCAAATTGGGAGTAGCAGTATACAAGTTAAATAAATAAATAAATAAATAAATGTGGGTAACCTTGTAACCATTCAGCGCAACCAGCACAAGCTTATTCAGAAATATAGAGCTGCTTACTAGTGAGTAACTCAAATTGTTATCAGAATCAATGTAGTTGTTCCCATCTGCTAGAATCTGCTAGCCAAGAGCTATGAGATTGAGTCAGAAAGTTTTGCCTCCTATGTCATAAAAACATTATGATTGAACATTTAACAGCAGAAGTTGGCACAGGTCATAGCCTGAATTCTCTTCTACACAAAAGTACCATTCAACATAGTCACCATCAATTTGAACTATTATTTAACCCAAGCATCAAAACCATGTTGGAAAAATTCAGGGTCTTTCTTTGTGACCCATGATTTTAAAGCTGTTTTAATATCATTCAAGTCATTGAATCTGAAGCCATGTCTTTCAGATGTCCAAAAAGACAACCTAGAACAGTACAACCTGTGCGTCCCCAGGGTGGCCTACAACTCCCAGAAATCCCAGCCAGTTTACCAGCTGTTAGCATTTCTGGAAGTTGAAGGCCCAAACATCTGGGGACCCACAGGTTGAGAACCACTGCCTAGATGGTTTCAGATTCAGTAACTTCTGCTGTTATGTGTTCATTCATAACGTTTTTGACACAGGCGGCAAAACGTTTTATCCCGCCCCCGTTTGTTGTACATATCTTACTTTCATTCAAAGACCCCAAAGCAACTGTCAGAACCAGGAGATAAATGTACCCTGGTTTAGCTGAAGCTGTAGCAGTGTAACATTTTGCTTTTCCACTTGTGTTGCTGAGTTTGTTGCCTGCTGAAACAGATTGGTGATCTAAGTGCTTGTTTCCTTCCCTCTTGCAGTTCCTCTTTCACCATCCATTACGGCTCCTCAACCTACTGATTCTCATTGAAGGCAGTGTAGTCTGCTATCAGCTCTACTCGCTGCTTCGTTCAGAGAAGTGGAACCACACGCTCTCCATGGCCCTGATACTGTTCTGCAACTACTATGTTTTATTTAAACTCCTGCGGGACCGGATAGTATTGGGCAGAGCATACTCGTATCCTCTCAACAGCTATGGGTTGAAAGCCCACTAGCTCATTATCTGAGGAAGGGAAGGATATTTTCATACAGTTCTATTTTTTTCTTGCAGCTGTTTATAAATATTTAAAAATATTTTATATTTTGTATACTACTGTTTTTTGTGGGGTGGGGAAGGGCCAAGTGGCAATTAAATGTCGCTTTATAAACAAGGTGTTATTTTATATATAAAAAAATCATTGTGTATATACTGTATATCAATATATCTATGTGAAGCAAGAGGACTGTATGTGTGGTCACTCCATCTGTTACACAGTGTTTACTACCAATTTTATATAAAAACAGTCCCCTTTTTGCTACTGGCTTTGCATGAAGACACATTCCAGAACAAGATATATATAATCAGTCCTCCATAGTCTACAACCACAGTTGTAACCAAAATATTTGGAGAAAAAAATCCAAAAAGCAAACCTTGATTTTGCAACACAGTGATCGTTATGCTGATGTGTAGGCATTCCTTGCCATTTCACATATCCTCAGGTTCTTTCTGGCACTCATTTGAGTTGTTCACCATTTTATGTAAAGGATGTCATTTTATACCCTTACAGATAATGGGACTTCAACATCCATGGATTTTGGTATCCACTGGAGGGTCCGGAACTGGATACCAAAGACCCATTGTACACTGCTGTTGTCTCAGGCTACCTAGGATGTTCAGTGCAGGAAAGTAGTAGAAAGGACCATTACTGTATCATCTAGCTTACAAACACAAGATACATTTTTAGTAGCAGAGCAGCAGATTGCTATGTTGAGATCTACATTGTGGTAAGGACACCCTTCACATTTTGCCCCCACTATAAGGGCCAAGAAGTATGACACACTTCCTTTATCCAAGGGAACAAATGGAAACACTTAAAAACCAAAAGGATCACAGTGGAGATTGCCCTGTCCTGTTCCCACAGTGGAGATGCTAATGTGAATCCTTTTATTTAATACTCATCCCAACTCCTGGTTGCGTTTCTTTCTTCCAATAGAGTGTGGTAAAATGTCAAGTACTGTAGTTGAAAACAGTTCTGTAGACATACTGTAAAAAGGGTAGAGATCAAATCGTGTGGAGTACCTGTGATGGCAGCTACATTTTGAAAATTCTAAGGAAAATCAGGAGCTGGATCTGTGTAAACCAAGTAAATAGTCTCAAGCATTCAACTATAAGTGGTGTTTGAACATAAATTTGGTTCTGGGTCAGTCTTGCATTGATCCACCTGTAGGAACAACTGTTTTAATCATACTCTGAACAGTTTTGTATATTCAGACACACAGAGATCCTGTAAATTTGCTTGACTTTAGGGTCATGCTGAACATAGATAGGTGAACAAGAACAAGAAACTGAACAAGAAAACTCAGCAGGCTCTGACATCCACGATTTCATAGCTGAATACATCAGGTGTGCTTATATGATTCACTAGGACAAGGAAAATGTCAAAATGAAATTTATCTCAATTCCGGGGCTATTGGACTAACAGTGGATTGAGTAACGTTTGTTTCTAAAGCCCAGCATAGGCATGTCTCTCAAGTATCTAGTAGACCTTATTTGACATAGAAAATTACACCTTGCATTGCCCTGTCCTGTTCCCTCGATGTATATAATTCTGACAACTGCAAAGAGAACAGCATTTTGTGGGGAAAGTGGACCTAATGAATGCTGACACGATATCCATAATTACTCAAACATGATTCCTAAGAAATACTTCCAAGCCTTCATTGTTCCTGATTTTCTGGCTTAAGACTAGTTTGAGTGTAATATTTACACGACTGGCTCTACCTTTTATTCCTTTAATTCAGTGTATATAAGTGACTGTACAACCTTTAGAACAGGCATGGACAGTGACTCATGTGACTCCCAAGGCTTTTTGTTGACTGCATAAGACCCCCCAAAAATTGAAATTTGCTAGAGTTGCAGTTTAGAAAAACACGACTCCCAATTACAAGTTGAAGTTAAGATCTTCATTTAATGGTGTTTCAATACAGGTGAAAACTGGTCTCCGTGCTGTCCACAGTCCCCCACCCTGGTTTAGAGGTACATCCAACATATATAACAATATACTTCTTCCTACCATAATATGAGCTCAAGAGAAAGCTAATGCTGTATTATTTTGCTGATTTAATTAGCTCAAAAGAGACAGCTTCCTGAAAGCCCAAGGTTTTAAAATAGGTGAAAATACAAATTAAACCCTGCACCACTGAAAACTACAGCAAAAAGGTATTTGAAAATAGTTCAACCAAAATCTAGAATTCTGAGCATATTGACTATGTCTTAAAAGGGGTGAGTGTTACAAGTGGGCTTTTTCCATTTCTGCCCCTCAGTGCAAGTAGTTAACCTGGAAACCTGCTTTATATGCACAATGCAATATACTTTAGAAACAGTTTTCTGCAGAGGCAAGCTGTAACCTGGTATCTTGAGAAAAAGACGAAGCCACTCGTTTTTCTTCTTTGGCATAGGGATGCTGCAGTTTAGTTTGTTTATCTGGAACAGAGGGACAATTCTAGGTAACAGTACTCAAAGCAATGAGCTCTATGATTTCCCAAGTGTTTTTTTTCTTATTCATCAGCCCTTGAAATAAAATCCTTTTTGTTCTACACAAGAAATTAAGTACTGACAGCATGGTGAGGCAGATAGGATTATTTCTGTTGAATACAAGAGAGAAGTGCTCAAAACAATCTGCCGGAAATAAGAAAAGTGGATGAATACTCTGCTACAGGAGCCTGTGTAAGATCCAATGGCATGTATGTCAGGTATGACTGGTAGAAGATCTATAACTGAAGCCAAAATCAAGATTTCACTTTTCTTAATAAGTTATTGTTTTATATGTGCTGTTTATAAAGATTTCCTGCTGTAAGTCACTCAGTCTGTAAGAATAATCTATCTCGTTTTGGTCTGGGTCAAGCTTGCAATCCTGTAGTTAGTCCTGTTACCCAAGAATGTCATAATAAATAGCTGGTTTTGCGATTGTGTCATGAAATTTCTCCAGCTTCAGGCCAATCCGAAACAGCAATGCTTCATTCCACCACTTTGCCATAATCTGTGAATAACGGAAATACAGCATGAGAAGGAGTGCAGAGAGAGTTAATTATGACAGACTTCTCTTAGGGACAGATCATTTGCACTCTGGCCGGAAAGAAGGGCATCAGAGCTAAAAGAAATGAGAGTAGTTTTTACATTTAATGTTAGTATGATTTAACCATAGGTTGAATCTCTATCTGAAATGCTTCAGACCAGATGTTTTTCAAAGTTTGGAATACCTATATTTGCATATACATAGTGAATGAGGAATTGTGAGAAAGGAGGTGAGTCACACATCCAGTCTCCACCAAGGAGCCTCCTGCAATACTGACAGAAACTGGGCAGGGGGAAGAGAAGGAAGTAGAAATCACACAAGGTCTCTATGGAGAGCAGACTCACAAACATTTCCCCAACTGTCAGCTTTTTCCACCCTCTGGGCAAAGTAGCCAGAAAGGGAAGTTTTTAAATTTTCTTGAGGATGAATATATGCAGCAGTCAATGCAATCAATCTGCACTGATCCTCTGGGCCGTTTCCAGGTATGCTCACCCTTCCACTTTCACTCTTACTCCTTGAGGACAAAATCAGTGGGCACTGAATATGTGACTACCCCCTTTCACCAAAAGTGGAAATGGGCAACTGACAGCAAAAAGGTTTGTGTGTGTGTTGTGCGTGTGTGGAGTATCTCAGATTTCTGTATAAGAGAGACTCAACATGTATGTTTTATTGTATATACTGCATTTTTGTAAGCTGTATTATTCCTGCAGTCTGGGAGTAAGGTGGGATATTTAAAAAAAAGATGGGTGGAAAGACTGCAGGAGGACTGAACATCTAGTGATTGCTTGAAAGAGAACTGGATGCCTTGCTTGTATCGGATGTTGAACTCATTTCTTCGTGGTCTCTCTGAAATCGCACATAAGGTATTTCCTGCACTTGCCCAGTCAGTTCAAATCTAGATATTTGTTTATTATTTATTTATTTACTGTTTTTATATTCCGCCCTTCTCACCCCGCAGAGGACTCAGTGCAGTAGCCTTGCCCACACTCTCCAAGGAAGTATATAGCCAATGAAAGGGGAATACAGCCTCAGTTCCTTTTGTCCATCGTGTTTGCAACAGCTTAGGAATTTTTCTGACTTTTAATAACTATCCTTTTTTTATTTTACTGTTCTGCCAGACCCTTCAACTTTTGCTATCTGGACTAATCTCTGGTGTGCCTTGCACCTTACTATGCCTTTTTCTCAATCTTCTGTTTGACCTGGACTGCTTTTGACCACTCTACTCAGGCCACTAATGTCTTCCACCACATTTTAAAAGAAGTGTGCAGTTTGTGGGGGGAAGTTGTCCAATACAGAGGGGCACACCATGTGTTTCTTATGGCTTCGGGATGGCTACACGGTGCAGTCTTGCCCCTTTGCCTCTCTTTTACTCCCCACACTCGCAAAAACTGCAAGTTGAGGCTCAAGAACCTGCTTTACAAGCAGGCCCTCTTCCCCCCCACTCAGCCCAATAAGCAATCGGTGTCTGAATCACCTGCTTCATCCGCTGATAGTGCGATCCAAGGAGGGGAGGCTACCTTCAGCTTATTGCCCTGGAGCCAACCTACCCTGGTCAAACCAAATGAAGGAAAAAGGCCCAAGGCGACCTATCTTCCATCTTCTGGGCCTGGAAAGAGCCTGGAGCGGAGCAAGCAGCAAGAAAAATCTAAAAAAGGATGACAGCCTTTCTCATTGCTATTACTGTGTGCATTGTGTGCCCTTTGTGTGGTTGAGACATATCTCTGGTTTCATAAGGACTAGATTGTGATTCACCTTTATCATTATTATTATTATTTGACTTTTTGCCTAAAGTTGCTTCTAGGTTCCACATGTCACAAGATATAGTGCTACCAGCCTTTTTTCAGGATCCATCCCCTCCTTTAGAACGGTCTCTTCACTCCTGGAGGTTCAGAGAGTGTTGCCATTTTATATTCATAGGACGTCTGAATTCAGGAAGTCCCCAAGAAATTTCCTTAAATATCAGAAAGATGCCAGTGGCCTTCCGGTTTCTCCCCAGCAACTATCCAGTTGGCAGGTCATGACTTACCTTTGCATGCTAGAGGCCACTCCACCAGGGCCTTGGCCACTTCAGCAGCTTTCCTTAGGGGAGTTTTGTTAGTCTGCCTGGCAGCTGCTTGGTCTACCCCACTTACCTTTGTCACCCATTACAAAGTGGATACACTCTCTAAGAGGGATGCAGCTCAAGGAGGAGCCACAGAGGTGGCAGCAGTGTCCATTAGGGTAGGAGACATTGGGGCCGCCATCAGGGTGGCATAGGTGCATAAGGCCCAAGTATGTGTACTGTCACTGGGGAGAACAGTGCCAGAACCCCCTCTGGTCCAGAGGGAGGCAAGGACCTCCAGATCGCGCTCTCCCCCACCGGCGCATGCAATTCCGGCAGAGTGCAGTATTTCCAGGTGCAGTAATAGCAACTGCCACTGGGGGGGAAGTGCCATAGCACTTTTCACTGGAACGGCCAGGAGGGTGTTTGGCTTCCTGTTTCTCGCATTCACCAGAGGCCTAAGGCTACGCCAAGCCCTTTTCATGCCCTATGGATGGCACATAGGGTTTAAGATTTTTCATTGTGCACATGCATCACAGAGGTGCTGTTTGGGGGACTCCAGTCCTGGCAGCCTTGCACCTGTGCATGCATCATGCCTGAAGGCGAAGCAGAGGCACTGTTCAGGGCACTCTGGTCCCAGTGGCCTGTGCATGCTTCACACCCAAAGGCGGAACAGAGGCCCCCTTCAGTGGTGGCCTGGGGAGCTGCTTCTACCCTTTCTAAGACTTCTTGGCCAACTCGGGAGCCTTTTCAGGCCCAGCCAGTGGTTTGTAGCCCTGGCCTTGGGCCAGAAGAATCAGTTACTGGGAAAGAGCTCAAAGTAGAGGGTAAAAGGGACCCTTGGGCAGCAGCATTCCCTATGAGAGGAAGAGGTTCACATACAGTCCATTTTCCGGGGGGGGGGGGGGGGGGGGGGGCTTGCTTTATGAGAGCTTATGGCCTCAGTTCCTGGTTTATCTGTGCAAAGGGGACAAACAAGGCAGGATTGCACCAGGTAAAACCAACACAGAGCATGCCCATTAGTACTGGCAGCTCTCCTCCTGCATGAGGCACTTTCCTTAAAAGAAAAATGTTGTAGAAGACATTACCAGAAAGGATCAGGACAACGAAAAGATTGTCCAAATCGGGAACAGCATGAGATAAAATAATAAGACAGTGCATATTAAAAGCTAGTTACACAAGAGAAAAATTCCTTAGCTGCTGCGAGAGCTGCAGACAAAAGGAACTGAGGCAGTAGCCCCTCCCACTGGTTATATACTACATGGGGAGTGTGGGCGGGGCTACCGCCATTTTGTATCAAGAAACTTTCTAGAAGATTCTGAAACTGACTGTGTAGCTGCAGGAAATACTATATGTACAATTTCACAAAACACCATGATGAAGTGAGAAAAATCTACCCTTATGAAGGGAAATTCATTTCTGAAAGAGTTACTATCTCTGGAGTTGCACTTAAAATGTAGCTGTTCCAACTTACAAACAAATTCAACTTGAGAACAAACCTAAAGAACCTATCTTGTTCATAATTTGGGGACTGCTTGTTTTCCTAAACCTTGGCTATCTGATCTCTTTAGCAAAAATACTCTTTCCTTTAGCACAGAATAGACCATGTGAACAAGATAGCATGTGAGGACCAGTGAAAAATGTAATAGTTACCTGAAGGCTGATGGGAAGGCCTGAGACAGTATATCCAATTGGCACTACTAGTGCTGGAATGCCTGTCAAGTTGGCCAGCTGCATGTACCTGCAATGTTCAAAGGGGACGTTACTTTTGTTCCTCACTGTCAGAAAAAAATCTAGAGAAGGTACTGTGACGCCCTGCAAAGTTCAGGTAATTTTTATTTACATGAGGAAAGATTTTAAATGCTGAAATACAATGAGCATCAGTTGTCAGTAACTGTCAGATACAGGTTTACTCCGTTCAGGAAACAAAGCCCTCAAAATATTAGAAACTTTATTTAAGGGAACAAAGTAGCAAGGTATCATGGACATTTGCAAATCTAACATTTATAGGTAGCACAATTCAAGTAATACATGGGCTTCTATCCCATTTGTTGAGAAGCAGCTTCCATGCCTCTTGCACAGGCTTTTCACCACAATTACATATCAATCATAATATGCCATAGTCCTATATTATTCCCCCATGAGAGCAATTTTTGAGTGTGCAACAGATAATTCCTTGCTAATGACAATTTTCCTGAGAAGCCTTCACTAAAGCCAATAATATCAGCATGTTTAAAAGCAAGAAAACACCCATCATTGTTCAGACGATGCATAGTTTTATAAGCAGATGCACAAATAACTGGCAGAGATACAACATGATATATCTCAAGAAAACATGGCAGGACTCAAGCTCCTATTATAAACTCATGATTCAACAAATTGATACAGAAATAATTACTACAAACTTAAAAGAGAGCTAGACCAAACCAACATAAGTAAATGAATATCCCATGTATCTAGCAGCCACAGTTGGCTTTAGCAGATTCAGATTTGGAAACAATTATACTGAAAGTTTAGCTTCAGCACTGCTTCTTCATACCTGTCATCTGACTTTGAACAGCACATGGTCTTCTTACCTCATGGTCTGGAGAGTCGTCTGAACATCGCTACATCCTGATAGGAGATCAGAGCTCTGGATTTCTGGGGCGCAACATGCAGTTCCTGAAGAGAAAAAGGATATCGTAGTTTTAAAAGTCATAAGCATTAATAATAATAATCTAAAAACTAACATCAGAACTTTCTGGTCAAATGACTTCCAAATAAAAAGAGTTCCGTATTTGTCCCATCAAAATAGGTTGGGGTTTTTTTTTAGCTGAGCTGGTTCTGAAACCAAAATGGGTTGAAATGTATTCAAGACTTAAATTTCAGTAAGTTTGATTTAACAGAATATTTGACAACTACCATATTTTCTGGAATATTAGATGACTTTTTAACCCAGGAAAATCATCCCTGAACTTGGGGGTTGTCTGGTAAGCTGAGTATAAAATATCACTTCCTGTTTCGGGTCAAGGTGAGAGAGGTGGGCAGCTGCCCTGCACTGGAGAAGAGTGCCCGAAGCCTCAGCAGCTGCTATGCTCCTCCAGCACTGCTTGACTCCTGCTACCGGGCTTCGGCCTCACCAAGGAGCTCTTCCACTCCAGGCCTGCCTCGGCTGTCAGTGCGGAGGAGAAGGGGGGGGGAGCAATATACTCGCCGGACAGCCATGTCACCTCCTCCTCCGCTGCACTGACAGCCGAGGTGGGCCTGGAGTGGAAGAGCTCCTCGGTGAGGTTGAAGCCCGGCAGTGGGAGCCAAGTGGCGCTGGAGGAGCGCAGTAGCAGCTGCTGCTATTTCATACGCCCTGCTCCAGTGCAGGGCAGCTGTCCGCCTCCCTCGCCTGTTAGGAGCCTCCATCTTGTTTTGGATCAAAAACAGGAAGTGATGTTTTGAACCCAAAACAGTAAGTGATGAGCACGGCAGTTGGCAGGTTGCGGCAGGGCCTGGCTGCCGTGGAGGGGAGGCCGCCTCTATGGAGCTGAGAAGCCGCCCCAAGGCCCAGAAAAGAAGGCTTTGGGGCCTGAGGGGGCTGGCAACCAGCAAGATATACAGCAAGTAAATAAAAAAAATGAAATTTTAAAAAGTCGGGGGTCGTCTTATGCACCCAGCCGTCTAGTACACCAGGAAATACAGTAATTGGTTAGATGCAGAGAATTACAGTGATAAATGTATTTAAAATGTGACTGAAGAACTGAGCACATGGCTAGCAAAATGAAGAGCTTTCTACAGAGATGTAACATGCTCACTGGAGCTTTTAAATGCATCATTTTAAAACTAATGAGCATTTGTTTTAGGAGTGAAGCCCTAGGTAAACTGCTAGGGCAAAAATACAATTCTTTGAGTTTCTTCACCTGAACACTATGGGTTATCCCAGATTGAAGCATTTAAGTGTAAATGAGTTTCTCTTCTACAAAACCGTATCTGCAGGGGATATGTTCCCAGGCTCTGCATAGATATGCAAAACTGTGCATAACAGTGAACCCTATTGAAATGAAGAACTTTCAGACCAAGAATACCATAGAATTGTGTTGGAAGATGTTGAAAAGGGCATATTTTGTTGGGCATGGTTAAAGGAAAATATGAATAATAAAATATGGTCAGGCAGATTTTAAACTAGGTTATGTGGAGGAAGGCGACATTATCCTTGGGAATAGTAGTTTATCAAGGCCCATAGCGAACAGACAAAAGGCTAAAGAGAGGATTGGACAAACACAACAAGTACAAAGCAGTTAGGGAACAATAAACTCAAATAGCTAAAGTTAATGCTCCAAGGGTTTAGGTGTCTTTATACTAATGCCCAGACCATAGGAAATAAACAAGATGAGATCGAACTCTTAAAACAACAAAGTAGTTACGATGTAATGGGCATAACAGAAAAAGTGGGATGAGTCCTGTAATTGGAATGTAGCAATGGAGGGGTATAACCTATTTCAGAGAAATAGACCAAACAGGAGAGGGGGTGGAGTAGCATTATATGTCAAAATATTTACACCTGTCTCAGCTGCAGGTTGCCAAGGTAACTGGTGGGGCAGCTTTCAAACTCTAAAATCCGGGTGGTTCGCAAATCTATCATCAGGATGCCGACAGTCATTAACCAAACCCAGAAGGAAAACCTCCGGAAATTCTACAAAGGCAAAAAGTACAAGCCACTGGACTTGAGGCCTAAGAAGACTCGTGCCATGCGGTGCAGGCTAACCAAGCATGAACAGGATCTGAAGACCAAAAAACAGCAGCAGAAAGAGTGCCTGTAACCTCCTCGGAAATACGCTGTTAAGGCATGAGCCTCACATCTTCAACTGTTCAGAAATGATTTTTTTTTCCATTAAAAGTATTTGACTTTGGAAAAAAATGTTTACACCTGAGAAGAGTTGCAAGACTTTAATCCTAGAAACCAGGCTGAGTACATCTGCATAAGAATTAAGGGAATAAGGACTGAAAAAGATGTAGCTGTATGGGTCTACACAACTCCAAGCCAAACAGAAGAACTGGATGAAGCCTCCTTGACCAGATGAAACATGCAGAAAGAAGACTAGTAACATGGAAGTAGTAACATGGAATTTTAATAACTCTGATATTTGTTAGAATTATTAAAATTCTATTTGTTAGAAAACAAACTTTGCCAACAGTACAAAGTCCAACAAATTCCTCACTTGCCTTGCAGACAATTTTATTGTCCAGAACTTAAAAGAGGCAACAAGGGGATCTGCTAATCTGGATCTGATCCTAACCAACACCGAGGATCTGGTCAATGGAGTGGAAGTGGTGGGATCCTTAGGTGTGCTCCTGGAGTTTGTGATACAAAGGAAGGGTGAGACTAAGAAAAGTCAAACATGCATTCGAGACTTTAAGAGAGCTGACTTCAGGAAATTAAGGAAATACTGAGTGGACAGGAATACTAAAAGAGAAGGAAGTATATGATGGATGGGAGTTTCTTAAAAGTGAGATACTGAAGGTCTAGGTTGAGAAAGACAAATACATGTTGTTTTTGGATTCTTGCCAGCAGCAGAAAAAATAGGAGAAATGTAAAACAACCAGGTGTGAGATATACCCTCTCACACTGGAAATTGCAATAAAAAGAACCTATGCTTCAAAGTTTTTTGAAAAGTCATTCATGACATAATTGGTGTCAGAAGTGGGATATTCTTTTCCAATGTTTCGGCGGTGACCAGGGGAGCATTCGCACAATTAAAACTTGTGCGCCAACTGCGACCGTACCTTGGGAAGTCCGACTTAGCCACGGTAGTCCACGCTCTGGTTACATCCCGCCTTGATTACTGCAACGCTCTCTACGTGGGGTTGACCACGAACAGGATATTCTTTGTCCTCTCAGCCCTTAGGCAACTCGGAGCGGTTAATAGCAACAGTTTCAGTATACAAAGTACAAGGTTATTGGGTATTTAAAAGCAATCACATAACAATTAAACAGTAAACATCAATACAACAATATATCAATATGTATGAGAGAAGAATAACACTTTTGCTTTAAGAAGTAAGATATTATTCTTTTCAGTGAAACAAAAAAAATTTGGAGTAGTGAAAATGACTTTTCTTGCTTTAGAGAAATAAAGTGTTCAGAACATCTCAGAGAATTACAGAAGAGAAGGGAACAAGGGAGAAAAGAATTGTGCTGGAGTGGTTTCAATGGATTGGAATCCGCATAATCCCCATATGAAGTGGGGGAGAAAGATCACTGGTGTAGAAGCTTGCTAAGTTGTTTGTTGTTGTTGTTGTTTTTAAGCCATGGAAGGGCTAAATACGTATAAGTTTTTTTTAAGGGAATTTAGAGAATATTCTTTCCAATGAGGGAAGATAGTATTTGAATTTGGAGTTGTTTTTACAGCAAATTGACAGAAGAGGGGGCCTCTGTGTCAAAGGTCAGAGGTAAAATATGTAGCAAAAGTTGTAGTTAGGACAAGATGCAGTTTTGCCCTTGAAATGTAGAAAAAGAGATCTAAATGTATTTTAAGTTTTGGTACAGGAGGAGTCTTGGTGATTATAAAGGAAAATGTGCAGGAGGAAGATCAGAGGAGATTCTGAGTTTTATTTTTTGAAAGTTTTTTGTGGAAGCCTATCTAAGGAAAATGGGGTGCTTGTTACAAAATGGTATTATTACATTACCTAGAGGAGATATTTTATGGTTGAATAACAAGGTAATTGGAGTTATGATTTTGCAACTTGGTAAAGGCAGATGAGTTGCATTTTGGTTTGGCAGCAGTCTAATCAGCCTATTGATCAGCCTAGTAAATGGGGTTTTGTTTTATTTTGGAAAAAAAATTGTTTGGAAATCCAAATTATTTGAATTTCCTACAAAATATAATAAATTAGGTGAAAGTTTTGTTATTGCAAAAGAGAAAAATGAAATAGATACAAAGAGATTTTTAAGAAGGAATTTGTTACAACCAATTTGGGAGTCTTTATCTGGAAGTGTTAACTTTTGTTAATTCTGTCTGTTTATCTAAGTTACTAAGTTACTGATTACTGATTAATTAAAACCATTTGTTTAAGTTACAGGAATCTAAATGTAGCTACCAACTCAAAGGAAGACCTGATGAAGAAATTGCCATGAGTTTGACAAAATTAATTTTGAACAGTGCATATATATTGTGATTTATAAGTTTAGAGTTTAAAGAGGAACAGAAAAGAAACATTCAGCTAAAGGTTTCTTTAAGTGTTACTGGAATTAAGCAATGCTGCAAGTTATTTCAGAGGCCAGAACTACAAGTCTCAGACTTCTGGAACAACAAAGTTATTTGGGAATTTGGGGATGTTGAGTCACAGGATTTGCTCATTTCAAGAGCATTGATGTTATGGGGGAAAGGAATTGCAAACACTGCTTTTCAGCACAGGATGAAGTGGGAAATGGGTTCAAAGCACACACACACACACACACAGAGGTTAATTTAAGGTTGAAAGAAGTTCTACTATTAAATAAAGGTTTTACATTTGAAAGGTTTACATTGATGCTGGGGAAACATAGAAATGGAAAAATTTGGTTTGGTTATGGTTTAAGTTAACAACTCATGATAATGTAAGGGAAATGTGATACAGTAGTAGTTCAGTAAATGAAACATTTTGGATTACCTTCATTTCGGTTCAGATGCATAGATTTATAAAGGAAATAAAACAATGAAGGTCTATATGAGTTACAAACATGAGAAGTCAAAAGAAATGTGATATATTTGAAAGATTGTTAATGATAAATACAGTTAAATGAAGTTTTGCTAAGGAAATGTAATGAAAATGAACAAAGAAGGAAACATTTGGGAACAACGTGGGTTTAGATCTTGTGCATATAAAGAAAGGTTATTTTATTAATTGATCAAATGTTTTGAAGGTTTATATGCAAAAGTTCAGTTTACGTATGAAATTGTTCATTCAATTGTAATGATGATTGTGAAAATGTATTTCTGGTTTAAGAAATGGAAAACAGTGAACTGGTCCTTGGTATTGTTCTTAGGAAAAGAAGTTTTGGCATTTCGGCGTTTTGAAGTTTTGGCGTTTTGAAGTTATGGAACTATGCATTGGCAGGCTGCAGGAAAGCAGGGTCTGGCCTAACCGGTGCTTCTCCAAGAAGGGAGAAAATGATATGGTAATATTTGGATGCATGTGGATGAATGCGTGTACATGTGGTGTGAATGTTGAGTGAAAATGTAATTCCCCTTTATTTGTCTGTTAACCAATGTAATTGTAAATCCAATGTAGTTGCATAGAATCTGTATGTCTGTATGTCCAATGTCATTCTTTGTCTAAATATTTTTCTGTAATTTGATATACCCTCTCACACTGGAAACTGCAATAAAAAGAATCTATGCTTCGAAGTTATTGAAAAGTCATTCATGACAGAAGGAACTAGATGAAGTCATTTCAGAAATAATCTTTGAGAATTCTTGGAGGACAGAAGTCCCAGCAGACTGGAGGAGGGCAAATGTTGTCCCTATCTTCAAGAAAGGAAAAAAAGAGGTCCCCAATAATTACCATCTAGTCAGCCTGACATAAATACCAGGAAAGATTCTGGAACAGATCATTAAGGAGGGAATCTCCAATCACTTAGAAAGGAATGATGTGGTTACTAAAAGTCAACATGGATTTCTAAAAAAAAAAGTCATGCCAGACTAATCTTATCTCTTTTTTCAATAGAGTTACAAGCTGGGTAGATGCAGGGAATGCTGTGGATGTAGCATATCTTGATTTTAGTAAGGCCTTTGACAAAGTCCCCCATGATCTTCTTGCAAGCAAGCTAGTGAAACGTGGGCTAGGGAATACTACTATTAGGTGGAGGGGTTGAAAAAAAAAGAGCGAATCATGAAGAGTAGTTCCATGACACAAAGTAATTTAAATAGTATGTATTGTCGAAGGCTTTCATGGCTGGAATCACTAGGTTCTTGTGGGTTTTTTCGGGCTATAGAGCCATGTTCTAGAGGCATTTCTCCTGTCGTTTCGCCTGCATCTATGGCAAGCTTCCTCAGAGGTACCTCTGAGGTACCTTCCTCACTACCTCTGAGGAAGCTTGCCATAGATGCAGGCGAAACGACAGGAGAAATGCCTCTAGAACATGGCTCTATAGCCCGAAAAAACCCACAAGAACCTATTAAATAGTATGGTTCATTCTATATTTTATATAATTAAATCAATTTAATGTTTGCTTCTCCTAGACTAAGTATGGGGATTTGGATAACCAGTTAAAATTCATGAATAAAGCAGATTTCTTTTAAAACCTGAAAATTTCGGGGGGGGGGGGGAATTATCCAATCTTATTCCTCCATATACTTTCTAACATTGTTATGCGTTGGAGCAATGTCAACTCTCCATTGCACAGGGGTGAAGAAAAAAATCCAGACCACAGTCATCCGAAGCAAATTGTTCAATCAAGTTAAAATCAGAGACCTGGAGTGATGAGACAATTCACATTTGCAAAAGTCTCCTGCAGAATGGCCATGGTGCGGGTTCGCTGACGGTTTGCCTGCAAACAGAAGACAAAGTCAAGTTTGTAAAATTGAACTACTTTGATTACGAGTAGCAACTCGATATGGACTGTTTATGTTAAAGAGTTTGAAACTGAGGTGCATGGCTGTAAACAAGAGGGTACAGATTAAAAGGTAAAACACAACCACCATTCTCCCCATGATCATCATGAGAAAAGGATATCTAAAGAATATGGGAGTGTATGATTCAAGGTGAAAAAAGAGGGAATAATCCTTGAGTTTAAAACAGAAGAAGAAAACGAGATATAAACAGGTCAACAAATGCATCCAATTTTAATAATTTTAACATGGGTTTCTGAATATTTATTTTAGAAATAAATATTTAGAAACAACAGAACTTGATCAGCAATCCGAGAAATCATCACCATAAGCTTGGTAGCATAAAAAGGAATAAAACACTTTGTTATTCAAATAAACACTAGTGAGTCCTTTTCTCTCCTCTATTCCAAATATTATTGCTTTAATGCATATACTCTCATCTAAAATGGGATTTTAAAACAAACCTCAATAGCTTGATTCTGACTTTTTCACAAATTACAGTTTAAGCATTGTTTTCCCTATTTGAATACAGAAAACATTTCATTCCAGTCCCCTCCTTTATGTTATGCTACACAAAATATTGGAAGGAAGGAAAAACCTATAGACATGCATACTATTATGTTTGCATGTGTGTGTGTGTGTGTGTGTGGAGATGAAATGAATAAAAAGGATGAGGGGTGCATGTATGCCTGAGTTTTAGCGTTAATTTCAACCAAGTCAATACGAAGACAAACTTACATAAAACTGTTCTTTTGAAACTGCAGATACGTCTATCGCAAAACCCTTACATCAAACAGAGGAAAGGGGCGATAGCTGTAATATGTTAACTAAAAGGTGCAGTTTTATTTAAACAGAGGGAGCTATTCATCATCTCTTAATGTAAAATAGGTATGTCTGAAAAAAGATTCCTTTTTAATAAGTATTTTGTGTTACTATTCAAAGATATTGTTCTAACAGTAACAAGCCTCTTCTGCCATGAGTTACATCTTTTCCAAATAGAGTAAAAATTGAGTGCTCCATACTATTCTCATCCCAGCTCTCGTTTATCCTGCAGTAAACTCTTTTTCACCTTAATGTAGTCCAGAGCTGTGAACTGGGAAGCAATTGCAAGGTTCAAACGAGTCTCCAAATTCTGGAAAATAAAAATACCTGGGTAAGTTTCTTCTGGAAGGGGACACATAAAACAGAACCACAGTCTAGTTCATACCTAGAAGAGATTTACAGGGAATGTTGTATAGCAGGATACTAGTGTGTACTGAAATTAGATCCTACAAAGGCAAAAAATAAACGCATGGATGTGAGCAGAGTTGATACATAAGTATTCCTACTGATTTCTATTCTTGTCTAACACCTATTTTATATCTGAGTGTCAGGAACCGGTTTCCAGGCCTTGAGTTTTGGCGCAAAAAACCAGAATCCTGACATGGACTGCTGATAAGAATGTGCAGCTGGTGGCCTTGGGGGGAAGCAGTTGGCATTTGGCGGGGAATGTTGCGCGGGATTCTCGGCCGGCGGGAAAAGGGAATTCAATTGTGAGGGAGGGTATATAAGGGTTAAACTGCGGCTGCGGGCCAATCCTGGCTTTCTTCGTGTATGAATGTCCAGCAGTAAAAGTTCCTGATTGATTACGGATTGGCGTCCTGTGTCGTTATTGGGAGCGGCTGCTGTGAGCTTACATTAAGCCAGGATTGCCGGTACCATCCCGCGGCTGCGGTGAGGTACCCTTATGGAACGGGAGGAAATTCCAGCAGCAGGGGGAGAGCCGGACTCCCCTTTTGAGAATGCGGAGGAGGAGCTGGAGAGAGTAGCTGCCTTGGCTTCATCGACTGCTTATGCCCGGCCCAACGGAGTAACCCAGAGGCGAGTGAAGGGGGCCGAGGCGGCAGCGAGAGAAAGCAGTGGGCTAGATTTCCCCTCCCCGCAGAGGTTGGAGTATCTGGAGGAAAAAGTGGCATCCATGGAAACCACCCTCGCAGTGATGTCGAGGGTGATGGAGCGGCTGGCCCCCTTGATAGAGGAATCACAACCCCGAAGGGAATCGGTGTGGAGTGCAGAGGAGAGGAGTGACCGGGGACCCGGAGCACGGCCTAAAACGCAGGCGAGTTGGAGAACCGGGGCAGAGAGTGATGAGGAGGAAGGACAGCCGCGGGGACTAACGCGAACGTCCCAGCAGACGCTTCTGGTGCCCCCGGCCGGAGCCGGGCGTGGCACAGGGCGGCACGGATTGCCCCCGGAGCAGCATGGGCTCCAGGGAGGGCCACCGCGAGCGGAGAGCCGGGAGAGGCAGCCCCTTGTCCCTCACCAGAGGAGGGAGGAGCTGCGAGTCGAATTTGGAGGTGAAGCCGGGAACCTCGATTATTTCCTAACCATGGTGAGGGGATACCTAGAGGACAACGCACCCACCTTCAGATCGGAGGCAAGCAGAGTACGGGCAGTGGGTGCGGCACTGAGGAGAGGAGCGGCAGAGTGGTATGTCCAACTCCATGCCAGACATGACCCATGTTTGGGGTCCACGAGGCGTTTTCTGGCAGCGATGGAAGCACGCTTCAGGGATCCGCTTGAGAGAATCCGAGCGAGAGAGAAGTTGCAAACAATAACCCAAGGTCAGCGTTCCGTGTCCGAATACGTAGAAGAATTCCAGTTGCGGGCAGAAAAGGTACCTGAGTGGTCCAATACCACTAAGGTCCAGATATTTAAGGAAGGCCTGCGGAAGGAAATCTTGGCCTGGGCACTTCATCGCGATGATCCGGAGGAGATAGGCGGATGGATTGAGCTGGCTGGCCGCATCGAGACGACCCTGGCTCAAGTCAAGAGACATCGAGGGGCGACACTGCAGCAGCCGAGAGCCAAGGAGGAGAGTCGGAGGGCGGAGAGAGGCACGATCGGGAAAGGCCCAGCCGGAGGACCCAAGGAGCAGAGAGGCTGCTGTTTTGTATGCGGCCGTTTTGGGCATCGGGCTGCAAATTGTCAGCAGAGGAAAGGGGGGATCCCCCTCAGTCAAGGTTTAAACCGGCCGCTGGGAAGAGAGCGGAAGAGAGCCTCCCTCACAGGGCCCCAGTGGGGGATCTGGTGAGTCACAACCCAGGGATGTTAGTATTCCCGATAAGACTAGGAGGGGAGGGGAAGTGGGCCAGCTGCAAAGCCCTCATGGATTGTGGCTGCTCCAGGAACATTATGACCCCAGAATTGGCAAATGAACTGAAATGTGAGAAGGCCGTCTTGCCAGCCCCTATAGCATTCTCACAGCTGGATGGCTCAGTAACGGCTGGAGCCCCAGCGCGATTCGAAGTGGGGGAAGTGAAATGCAAGATAGGGAATTGGGAAGGCGGCATAACATTTGTGGTATCCCCTATAGCAACTTACAATGTGATATTGGGGATGCCGTGGTTGAGGGAGGCAAACCCACAAATCAATTGGAGGAAGGGCAGCCTGAGCTTCCAAGGCGAAGAGAAGGGGGACTGTTATAAGGGGGAGGGAGGCACGACAGACGGAGTGCAGGAGATCCCTCCCAAATATAGAGACTTTGAGGATGTGTTTGATGAAAAGAAAGCGGATCAGCTTCCTCCCCCAAGACGGGTCGAGGTGAAAATCGAGCTCAATAAAGACGCTAAGCTGCCTAGGAGTAGGCTATACCCAATGTCGGCTAAGGAGATGGAGGAACTGAGGAAGTACATTGATAAGAACTTAGCCCGAGGGTTCATAGTACCATCTGAATCCCCATTGGGGCCCCCAGTGCTATTTAGGCACAAAAAAGATGGCCCATTGAGGTTGTGTGTGGACTATAGGGGGCTGAACGCAGTGAGCACGACCAACAATTACCCATTGCCTCTAACCAAGGACTTACTGTCGAGACTGTCAGAGGCAAGGTGTTTACGAAAATTGACTTGATTGAGGCCTATCATAAGTTGCGAATACGGCCTGAGGACAGGTGACAAACGGCTTTCTCATGTGCGTTAGGCCATTTCGAATATTCCGTGTGTCCCTTCAGGTTAAAAGGCTCTGGGGGGGCATTTATGCAAATGATTAATGAGGTGTTGCACCCGCTACTGTACCGCGGAG